AGAAAACGATTGTGCGGAGCTAGCAGTGACAGCTAGCTCCGCCCAATAGTTTCCTATTGTCCGGCGGCTCTGCTGCTGTCAAATTGTACCCGCCCTCTGCTGATGGACCTGATGGAGAACTGCAGCAGAGGGCGGGTACAATGCTAGTTTACTATTGGCTATTGCAAATTGAAATAGCCAATAGTAATGTACCAATGCTTTTCAATGGGAAATGTATTTATTTTTATTTTTTTTCTATTCCGACATCGCTCGTGTCAGAATAAAGAAAAAAAAGACACAGCTGTGTTTCTCTCCTGGGCGGCCGGAAGCAGGAGACTCCCGGGGCGCCAGGGAGAGTTAGCTGTTTGGAGATCAGTGTCCCTGGTTAGCAGGTAACCAGGGACGCTGATCTCTCTGCAAGTGGCCAGAGCCAGCCGTAAGATCACGGCTGGCTCCGCCCAGCTGTCGCCCAGCTTCGGCTTTCAGCACGGCTGAGCCGATGCATATGCGTTCGGCTCGACTGAGCCGCTCGGCCACGTTCGGGAGCTGTACGGGCTATTGTGAATAGCCCGTACAGCACCCCTTCGGCTCTACTGAACCGAAGGGGTCCTGGGGCCGAAGCTAGCCGAAGGATCGGCCGAAGCTATTGCCAGATCCTTCGGCAGCTTCGTGAATAGACCCCTGAATCTGCTTATTCTTTGTTATTATGTAAATCTGTGTGTTATCTTGTTTACTTATAGATCATTCAGACCCCCCAAGCCCCTCTCCCCCCATATCTGGGACATTTTGTAGTGCAAATAACTAGGGCTGCGGAAATTAACGATTAATTTCTCGATTAATCGTTAAACTTTTTGATCGATTAAAATAATTTTGATCAAAAATGCAAACACTCACCTCTCCGCCGGCTTCCGGGAGTTCCGTCAGCAATGAAGTAATAAAATGAACTAGGATCACAGTAATCCAGCACGTTATTATTCTGAGTTGCCCCACTCAAGCGGCGGCCATATTGAGTGGGGCATGTGAGATTAATAACGTGCTGGATTAGTGTGATCCTAGTTCATTTAATTACTTCATTGCTGTGCTGTATGTGTATAGGCCACTGTAGTTGGATATATATGTGCGTTATAATTAATCGAAATTAATCGATTAAAAAAAAATTTGATTAATCGAACACGAAAATTTTAATCATTACCAGCCCTACAAATAACTTCATCCATTGTTATTTATTCAGAAACACATTTCGCTTCTGTAATCATTTGCTGGGTGTTGGTGATGAGCAGGGGGTACTTGGTGTGAACCCAGTTTGTCAGAGTTGGTGATGGGCACCTCCCTCCCGGCCAATCAGTTGTGGCCAGGACATTCCCTGCCCTGCAGCTACAGGAAACAAAGGGCCGAGAAATGCCCCTGCCACAGCTGATTGGCAGGGCCGTCTTTAACGCAGGGCAAAGAGGGCACTTGCCCCGGGCCCTGTCATGGTTGTGGGGCCCAAAGCAGCTGCCCCTTGAGCCCGCCGCGGTAGTTTCACTAGGGCTCTGTGGGGGTCTAACAAGGCTGGTTAGACCCCACAGGGCCCTGGTGAGACCCTACAGAGCCCTGGCGAGACCCTTCAGAGCCCTGGTGAGACCCTACAGAGCCCTGGCGAGACCCTTCAGAGCCCTGGTGAGACCCTACAGAGCCCTGGCGAGACCCTTCAGAGCCCTGGTGAGACCCTACAGAGCCCTGGCGAGACCCTTCAGAGCCCTGGTGAGACCCTACAGAGCCCTGGCGAGACCCTTCAGAGCCCTGGTGAGACCCTACAGAGCCCTGGCGAGACCCTTCAGAGCCCTGGTGAGAACATACAAAGCCCTGGTTTAACCAGGGCCCTGTGGGGTCTAACCAAGCTGGTTAGACCAAGCTGGTTAGACCTCACAGAGCCCTGGCGAGACCCTTCAGAGCCATGGTGAGACCCTACAGAGCCCTGGCTTAACCAGGGCTCTGTGGGGTTTTACCAGGCTTTGTGTGGTCTAACCAGTCCCTACAGAGACCTGGTGAGTACTCACAGAGCCCTGGTTAAACCAGGGCTTTGTATGTTCTCACCAGGGCTCTGTGGGGTTTACCAGGAAATGTTGGGAAGGTGAGATAAATTCCTGGGGGGGGGCCAAGAAAATGTTTGCCCAGGGTCCGATCAGTATTAAAGACGGGCCTGCTGATTGGGCTGGGAGGGGGTCGTTCAGTTACAGTTTTGCACTGGCTTGGGTGAACTCCATCGAACTGAGTTTGCACCAAGCCCCTGCACCTCACTATTGGTGTTCTTCAAATTAAAGACACAGGTTAATGTGCTTCAGGCGATCAATTACGATCGGGCTTTCATGATGTTGCCACTGGTCTTGCACTGATTGCAGTGCGGACTTGATAACATCGGCAAGAGAGGCAACCATGAGACCAACATTCTTCAGTGGAATGGTTGTCACAACCGGAACCAGTGGAGAGAAAGATCGTGGGACTGGGGCATAAGGTGAGTATGACCGTGTGCTAACCCACCCCCTAGAAAAAAAATTAGAAGTATATAAGAATTCATTGGGAGTGTGGAAGAAATATTAAATGTGCCTGGAATTAGCCTTTAAGTTACTGCAATGGTCTAGGTTTACCTTCATCTTAAGGCCCATCTAAATTCAACCTGGAATGGCGCGGTGACCAACGCAGAGGAGGACAAGAAGGTTTGTGCTGTAGCATGGAGAAGGTGAGTAGTCAATAAATTCATTTTTTTTTTTCTTGACAACTGAAGGGAGGGGAAAACATAAAAAAGAGAATAAAGGAAACGAGATGGACTTTAACTACAGGGATTTATTTTATGATACTGTTCATGTACAAAATAGCAGACCCATATCACTAAGCTGCAACATGTGTTATGTGCCATAGGAAATCAGCCATGAGATTGTCATTTGCAGCTCTCATTGGGTCTTAGGTCTAAAAATAAAAACAGTGATTGCAAATACTGTTCATTATAGTGCAGTGAATTCAAGTGAGACTATGGACACAATAATGTTATAATACTTCAAGACTAAACATTAAGACTTTATCATATGTCCAGTCATGCACCTGCACATACTACCTGCTTACATACCCTCTACACTTCTCCTTGTACATACTGCCTGCTTACATACCCTCCACACATCTCCCTGTACATACTCCCTGCTTATATGCCTTCCACACGTCTCCCTGCACATACTGCCTGCTTATATGCCTTCCACACTTCTCCCTGCACATTGCACACTGCCCACTGTCATTCCCCTGCACTTCTCCCCTGCACATACTGCCCACTGTCATACCCCTGCACATAACTCCCAATGTCATACACTCCACACTCCTCTTCTACACATACTGCCCGCTGTTATACTCTTATGCACTCTTCATATACTGCTCACTGTCATACTCTCTTTTCATGTCTATTTCACATACTGCCTGCTGTCATACCCTTGCACTTCTCTCCTACACATACTGCCTGCTGTCACACTCTCTGCACTCTCTCCCTTCACATAGGGACCGCTGTCATACTCTCTGTTAGCCTCTCTTTCGCATATTACCCACTTTCATACCCCCGTCACTCCTCTCTTACACAATCTGCCCACTGTCATACCCCTGCACTCCTCTCCTGCACATACTGCCTGCTGTCATGCTCTGTACACCCTTCCCCTTTACATACTGCTCTCTGTTATACTCTCCTTTCACCTCTATTTCACATATTGCCCACTGGCATACCCCCTGCACTTCTCTCCTGCACATACTGCCCAATGTGATACTATCTGCACGTTTTCCCTTCACATACTGCCCCCTGCCATACTCTCTGTTCTCCTCCTCTTTCATGCCCCCTACACTGTTCTCCTACACATACTGCCCCCTGCCATACTCTCTGTTCTCCTCCTCTTTCACATGCTGCCCACTGTCATGCCCCCTACACTCTTCTCCTACACATACTGCCCCCTGCCATACTCTCTGTTCTCCTCCTATTTCACATGCTGCCTACTGTCATGCCCCCTACACTCTTCTCCTACACATACTGCTCCCTGTCATACTGGAACTGGAAGTTTGAAGCACATTGGATTTTGAGCAGAATCCTGCCAATAACATACTTCCTCTCCTTGGGTGATAATGCTCTCTTACTGTATCTACGCAGGAACAGCTTTGTTACCCTAGGCTGCTTGCTCCTGATTTAGACAACAGAAAACCTCCCCTCTCCTCCTCACCTTAATATATCAGTGTGGTGTTCTGCAATTTACAAAGATGAGGTTGGCAGTGCTGATAACAATGCTTGAGATGTCAGTGCAGCAGAGGCAGAGTGTACAGAAAGTTACAAGGTCACTGAATTTCTGGCAGAATCATCATGCATTTTCCTGTACTTGTTGCTTTTGTAAAAAGAAAACAATAATAGGAAATGTGCATGTATTGCAGTGATTTGCTGAGCATTTGTTCACAAAATATTTGCTTCTACTGATTCCTATTGGAGCATGTGCTTTAAATTGCAGGGAATAAATGTTTAGTGACTGTCACATTCACTGCTTTAAAATTATACCCAATTTCTTATATATTTCTGCATGTTATGCTTCATATCCATGAGCCTCATTTTAGGTGACAGGTTCTCTTTAATCTGCCCAGACCTGAGCATAGTACAGATTGTCATTATGATTTTTTTGCAAGGAATCATTGTTTGACATTGATACTGTAGCTGTGGAATCTACTGTATACCTTGTCACTGAGTTTATTACATTCTAATAATATTTTTTTTTAAACAGGTATCTTTCATTGCACATTTTAGGTGACAGGTTCTCTTTAACCTGCCCAGACCTGTTTTGCAGGATGTCTCCATCATAGTAGCTTGTCTCTGTGATTGCTTAGCAGTGAACCATTATTTGATATTGATAATGTAACTACATCTACTGTACACCTTATCACTGTGTCTAATACATTCTAATAATACAAATAGAAGCAGGTATCCTTCATTGCACATTGTAGTTGACAGTTGTATATTATGTTCTGTATTTCAGGTTTTTGGCCCTAACCCCTTGGAGAATTTTTCATTTAATATCGCTCATTTTACTTGGACTTCTTCTGGTTCAGATAATTAAGCATTTCTTACTGTCCAGAAACACAGGTGAGTAGATTCTAGTGGCTAGAATATTAATTAACTCTAGCAGCTCGAATCAATCTACTTATGTACACTTGTATGTACGTTTGCACACATTTACGCACACCAATAAATTCTGTATGCTCCTCTTTGAACACAAGTTTGGCAGATTTTTTTTGCGTCCCTGAATGCTGTTCTACCTTACAGATCTAAAAGCTACAATGTGCATGGACACTTTGAGGGTAATTTACTAAAGGCAAATGGGTTGTTCACTTTGCAATGAGGGGAAGCTCTGTTGATTTTTATCATCCAATCATGTGCAAGATGGGGTTTTTTTTCATGTTCCTTGCACATGATTGGCTATTCTTTGCAATGTGAACTTTACCACATTCACTAAGCTGAGGGAAAATTCTCCTGCAAACAGCTTAGTCTTCTTCTTGGGTGAATCAACCCAACCAGCTGTTCTAGAGCTGCGTTCAGAGGAGTGAGCCTTTAAACAGCATTCGTCTTTTTTACCCATTGATCCAGAAATTACATCTGCTATTTTTCTCATAGAGTAAGAGAGGGTTATAACCCTACCCTTGTCAGTTTTTGTTTTTTTGCCATCTGTGTCCCATTAGGGAGGTGTCCTTTAACTTCCTGTCTAATAGCCACAACAGGACGTTAGAGGGAATTCCTCCAAAGTGGGGGAAATACCTGGTGGTCAGTAAGGTCACCATTGGAAGATTTCCCATCTATTCCTGTTCTGATGACATTCCAAAACTAGGGTTTTTTTTCACTTTCACAAAATAACAGCCACCAGAACAAATGGAGAGGGTGAATCTCCCCAACGGTGATACAGACAGCAATAAAAATCTGACTGGGGTTGCAATCCCTCCCCACACTATCCATTACAAAAAACGTTTTAACTTCAGTTGCACTTTAAGTGTGCAAGTCTCACTCTTCGGCATCCATTGTCATGTAACACAAACTGGAAGACAGTAGCCAGAGTGAGTTTGTTGCTAAGACCCCTTTCAGACAGTTGGTCCGATCAGGTCAGCCTATTCGTTTTTCATGCAGATCTGATTCGGAAACCCAGTGTTAGTCTATAGGCAGCCGGATCTAAACGAACGTGCATCCGTTAACATCCAAATACCTAGAACTGCGCCCAGGTCCATTTAAAGGAGAACTATGGGGTTAAGGCCTTTCCTATAGTTCTCCTTAGGGTAACGGGAGGGCACAAACTAGCGTCCTCCCGTCACCCTAGGCTCAGTATACCGCGAGCTGTAGCTCGCGGTATACTGAGACGCCGCAGTATACCGCAAGCTGCTGTTCGCGGTATACTAAGATGCCGCAGCTGAAGCGGATCCCGACAATTATGTCTGGATCCGCCCAGCTGTGTGACTGACAGCTGGCTCTGCCTATCTAGAGGCAGAGCCAGCTGTACCCGCCCCCTCCCCCGTCCGTTCCGCCAGTCAGCGCTGGCAGATCGGAGCGGGGAGGGGGGAATCCAGCCCCTCCCTTGTCACGGCAGAGAGCCGTGACAGGATCGAGAGGGGAGCGAACGCCGGTATGTGTTCGCTCACCTGCTGATCTACTGAGCCGACCTGTGACAGTTTCATTGTCTCATTGTCACAGGTCGGCTAGTACTATGAGGTGAGTGAAAAGCACTCACCTCATAGTTCTCCTTTAAAAAACAGAGTCCCATTTTGGCAGACCTGATGATGGCAGATCGGGGGTAATCTGATGTTATCTCATGTCCACTTACATCTGACTCCCGATACACCTGACAAAGTTACATAGTTAGTCAGGTTGAAAAAGACACAAGTCCATCGAGTTCAACCTATAGAGATATGAAGAAAAACCTAAACAGAACGCTATGCCCACAATTACCCACTGTTGATCCAGAGCAAGGCAAAAATGGGCCTGGCAAGTTCAATTTTTTCCTCCATCTCAGCAGGGGATTCGTGCACGGAACTGACAGTGTCCATGTAAAAGGGGCCTACCATTCTGTATCTGGTGGGTGACTTGGGAACTTCAGCAGGGAAATCTCATTGCCGTTCTCCCCCAAAAATATAATAACCTGATAGATTCCACTCAGCAGCACCCACACCAAACTGTTTTGGATAAATACCTTTTAATGCATTGTCTTATGCCCAAAAAGTTTATAATAATAGATTCACCATAAAAATAAAAGGAAGTCCATGTTTCCAGTATTAAAATCAATGCAGTTGCGTTAAGGGAGCTGAATTTCCCTCTTTCTGTTTCTAAACATGATGTATGTATGATTTTTTTCTAGGTGCACAACTGTGGAGAGGTATTGTCAAAAGGTAGAGTGCATTTCATTCCTTATCTTTATTAAGCTGGATCCTTTTACACCTGATATTTATTGAAGTATAATGTGTAATTTATACCTTTTGGGTTTGTTTACACCATGTGCAGAGACCTGTGTTTTTCTGTACATGATCAACACGGGTCTGTGCAAGGACACCTAGAAAACAATTGTGTGGCAAGTGTGGTCGAAAAACATTTATAATGTAATATGGTCGCAGACATGCGTTCATATGTGTCATCATGACTAAACACACTATAGAATTTCCTGCACGTAGCACATGGACATGTCAACAGCAGTCTTAGAGCCCGTTCACACCAGATGCATTGGGGCTGCGCTGGCTGCTCCAATTCGAATTGTTTTCTTCTTAGTTCCCACCATTGCGTTGCAGTGGCGTGCACTGAGAAAAGGCATGGTATGCAGTATTTTTCTGCAGCGCAACGTGGTTCGATGCACAGTGTCGATAGAACATAATGAAATTCCACTCATGAACAATAAAAACCAGGCATTGGCACATCAGCACTGAACCTGTCAGCACACGCCAGTGCCCATGCGTTCAGTGCCGCTTACTGGTGTGAACAGGCTCTTAGGACTGTTTTACACTACACATGCACACGTTTTTGATGCATTTGCACATGCATGTTGATATGCATTTTATATGCGTTGCATTTGCATGTGTTTTCATACATGCATTTCAGTCCATGGGAAAACTGAAGCAGAAGAGACAAAAGATAGTAGTCACATTTAAATTGCATTGGTGGGTTTCCATGTTGTTACGATGCAAAAAATGCGGCATTCTGTACTTTTTTTTTTAGATGTGCTGCAATTCACCGCAGTGGTGTAAGCCAGACTCTTTTACAAACATGAGAATCCCAGCGAATATGGTGTAAACTAGCCCTTAAACTGAAACTGTACCTTGTTGATTCCACTTCTCATGTCTGTGCCCTGGTCTGTTTTTTCCCCCATACATGCCTGAATCCCAAAGTTTGTAATAGGATGGTATCTTTATCTTCCATGTCCCAGACAGTGTCCTCATACTACCCCTATACATCATCTGCCAATATACTCTGTGTTTTCCGGACGCTCATCTGTGGATTAAGTTCCACCATTGATGTCTATTTACTAGAAGCAGCATTCCTCGTAACTCAGTTCTGAGAACTACTGTACTACTTCTGGACTATTTTTACAACTGAAAAGAATGATGTAGTGCTGATTATGTTACAAAGCGAACACTTTTTTATTTGGTGTTCTGTACAAGTGTAAGGTACAGTAACTCATAGCAACCAATCATAAATGAGTCTTTCACCTGCCTGGGTGTAGAATGGGAGGGCTATGGGATGGTGCACTTTGCACACTGTCATTTTACTTTGCACTGTCTTGTTAAATAAGCAAGTCATTTAGATGACATTTTCTTTCCTGATTTCTATTTTTATCCTATCCTTAGGCCCCTGCCACCTTTAGCTCAATTTGTCCCCAGCCTAAACTTCTCTGCTCCCAATCTCAGAAGTTCCCTAGTCTGAGCATACCAACCAAGCAACTAGCATTTTCATAATCAAAGGTAAAAATGGCAGCTTGCTTATTCCTCCCAATACAGATTTCCTAGGAGAAATATGGAGCTCCTATGCTGACCCTTCCTTCTGACAGCGCTACTTTTCTGGCTGCCATGTTAATCCATTAGCTTTGGTGTTTTCTGAGTCACTGACCTGGAACAGAGTGAAAACAGAAACCCTTATCTTTTTACTTCCAGGTCAGTAACTAAAGCCCCTTTCATGTGGGTGCCTTCAGTTTTGTAGTGAAATTACCGGACCCATGTTGGTCTATGAGGAGTCAGACATAAACAAGCATGTGTCTGTTTACATGAGATTACCCCTGGATCTGGCACAATCAGGTCTACCTGGCCGAAGTTAGAGGTAATCAGAAGTACGCAGGGCCATGTCCATTTAGGTCCGGCTGTCCACAGACTAACAACAGGCTTCTGATCAGATCTGCCTGAAAAAATTACAGGCAGACCTGATCAGAATGTCCGTCTGCAAGGGGCCTAGGGCTCGTTCACACCAACTCCAGTGCTTCCCAGCTATGCACCCCCTTGTTCCGGTCCAGTGTGATTGCACAAAATAGTGCATTAACTATTTGTTGCAATCACACCGGATCGTAACGCAGGCATTGCTGTGCCACACGTTCTGGTGTGGGCAATCGCACTGGGGGTGGGGGGGGACACCACTACGCCACCTCCCACCCCTGAATGCAGGGAGGCTTACAGTATGCCATCCAGTGCATTCCAGCAGCTAACCGTGCTGGATCGCACTGGAATTGGTGTGAACGGGCCCATGAAAAAAAAAAAACCTGCGTTCAGATCCATACAGCCTACAGTTGTTTACGGATCTGAATGCAGATACACGTCAGTACACGATCTGATCTCCTTCTGATCTCCTCTCCGGTCCCCTAATGCAAGAAGTGATGTATAATACATCACTTATGCATTCAGCTGTCATACCCAGCTACAAAAGCTGAGGATCTCTGCTTCATCAGCTTCACCTTTTCATGATGTCTCCATAAAAAGGACCTGATATGTGGCTATCACATAGGGAGCTTCTTAGCCCCCTATGTGATAGAAATAAAGATAAGTGTAAAAAAAAACCAAAAGTAACAACAAAATGAAAGAAGCATTAAAAAAAAAAATTAAGTCCTCCGCCCCCCACATACACACGCAAACATGTGTCGGGTGCGCCTACATGCGAAAACGACTATTGCGCCTATTGTGCCGCACATGTTACATATCACCGCAAATGTCGGAGTGAGAGCAATAATTTTCGGGCCATTAATCACGGATAACACTAAACTGATGAGCAGGAAAAGCGTTTAAAGCATCGCCTATGGCCAATTTTCGGTGTGGTCGTTTTTTGCGGGCGTGTGCAGTTTTAAGGCTTGACATGTTTGGTGTCTATTTACCCGAAGTGACCCCGTCTTTTATGTTTTAATATGGGTAAGAATAAATGTTTTATAACATAACACAGGGAAAACATTTTTTTTCCGGAAATTTACGGTACTTTTTTCATTATGTAGTACCCCGCCCCCCCCCCATGGTGATATTATATATCAACAAAAGAAAGCTTTCTGTCCCCAAAAAATGTAACATAAATTGCAAGGCTATAGTCCGGTCATGCTGACTGGTGATATTTTTGACTGACTGGTGAGACACCCTAACATTTTTCAAGAAGCCCGGTACATGTGTACCTTGCGGGGAAGAATTTACGGACATTTATGTGTCTAACCACACGTAAACAAAAGCACTTTACGAACCATTACATGCATTTTTAATGCAGGATCTTCCCGCCAGCTTTCTACCAGCAACATCCTGTGTAGATATCGTATTTTATTAAGCCCATGCCCATGAGCCTAAATAAAGCAAGTGAGTCAGCATGACAGCCAGGAAACTAACATTTGCACAATGAAAACCCAGCAATGGCAGTCTCTGTGTCTCTCTCAGTAATGGCTCATTCACACAAGCAGCAGACTCTACCACTGTGACCCATGGTGGATCAGAGGGCGGTAAAGCAGCAGCTTTCAGGCATTTGGAAGGCAATATTGCTGCCTCCTGAATGCCTCTTTGATTCCCAAGGGGAATGCACATGGAACTACCAAACCACAACCTTGTGCCAATTGTTTGCCACGCGGCTGTAGCACGGTCTTATTCAGTGGTCATGTTTGGCAGGCGGTACTGCCTGGAAACGCAACATGCTGTATAATTTTTGCTGCTCCACTGAGCAAAGCATTCTGGCTGCGGCAATATTTACAGCACTGTCCAGCTGCAATGCAAACTTGTCATTGGACGGCTGGGGAGTGGTAAAAACATGGATCAATCGCCTGTTTTTCCTGCCGCATGTGAACTTGGCCTGAAGGTTCGCTTTAACTGAAAAAAAAGTGTATTAGTCTGAAACTTCCAGCAGATGGCAGCATTGTAGGGAAATTGTGCAAAACTGTATGAAAATAAATGATGTAGATTTCTTTGTACGAGTTCAATGATCTATGTATTACTTTTATACTGAATTGTATTATTTATTCATAATTAAAGGAGAACTATGAGATGAGTGATTTCCACTCACCTCATAGTTCTAGCCGACCTGTGACAATGAGACTGTCACAGGTCGGCTCAGTAGATCGGGAGGTGAGCGAACACATACCAGGTTCGCTCACCTCTCGATCCTGTCACGGCTCTCTGCCGTGACAGGGGGAGGGGCTGGATTCCCCTCTCCCCGCTCCGATCTGCCAGCGCTGACTGGCAGAACGGACGGGGGAGGGGGCGGGTACAGCTGGCTCTGCCTCTAGATAGGCAGAGCCAGCTGTCACTCACGCAGCTGGGCGGATCCCGTCGTCTAAGTCGGGATCCGCTCCGGCTGCGGCGTCTCAGTATATCGCGAGCTGTAGCTCGCGGTATACTGAGCTTAGGGTAACGGGAGGACGCTAGTTTGTGTCCTCCCGTTACCCTAAGGAGAACTATGGGGAAAAACACTGACCCCATAGTTCTCCTTTAAGTGTATGTAAACCTTAAATATATTTTTCCCTCTTAAATCAGTTCCGCAGTTCATATAAACTTTATACGTCACTTTTTTTTATTCCAATAAAAGACTAAGAGACTTATTCACTATGGAGCCGAAAGATCCAGGCGTAGCTTCGGCTGATCCTTCGGCCGCATGAGCCCTTCGGTTCAGTAGAACCCTACTGAACACCCTATTCACAATAGGCCATACAGCAGCCGAAGATAGCCGAGCGGCTCAGCTGAGCCAAAGGCATATGCTTTGGCTCGACTGAGCCAAAGTGACAGCCGAAGCGTGGAGGAAGGTCGGCCAAAGGGCCGACCTTTGTCCATGCAACTGACAGCTGGGCGGAGCCAGCCGTGATCTCACGGCTCACTCCGCCCAGTTGTAATGACAGATCAGCGTCCCCAAATGACCTGGGGACACTGATCTGTCATTAAATAATAACAACTGGGCAGAGCTG